TACGGAAAAAAAAAAAAAAAAAAAAAAAAAAAAAAGAAAAACAATAAATAAATAATAGTCAGGCCTGAGATATATTATGTACTATTACATGGGTATATCTTTTGCGAACACGTATTCCGCCTGGGTTTTGCAGATCCCCCTTTACCAACAGCCGGAGAGGCACTACGAGCGCCGGGCTACACCGCCCCAACCAGACCGAACCAGCAAGGTGTGCCTGCCACATCAAATACGTGAATTAAAGATACCCATTCGACACATAATACTTGTGCACTATACTCTCTACACACATACACGCACACACACACACACACACACACACAGAGAGGAAGAGGAATAATGGTGCATTTGTGGGGAGTTGGGTGATACGATTACCAGGCTTTCATGTACACCTATGCAAAAAAAATGGTCAAATTAGACCGGTACTCTTTGTCACCCACTCTTCTATACCCTTCCTCGCAATCGTCACCAAATTCTTTCTTTCTGTGTGCCAACAAAGTTCAAATACATACATTTGTACATCATAGAGTTCGTTAACCTTATGACTCTGTTATGTTCATTATTGACATATACAATGTATACATACCTTATCTACGTTGATCTATACAGTGCTAGATATGTTATGTATTAACTATCTCTATGAACTATTTTTTTTTTTTTTTTTTTTTTTTAACGTTTCTCTTAATATTGATTGTCTATTATATATTTGATAATTGATGATTGTTGGTTTTTTGACATACTAGAACAGAGTTGCATAAAATAGTTTAATCGTTGTTTTTTTTTTTTATTTTTTTTTTGTTTGTTACCACACACAGTCTCAGAAGTAACAAGTTTCTCGTAAGAACCTTGACTAAAAGCCTCTTAGTACTCTCCCCGTGGAAAGCAGAACTGATCATCTGATGTTCCAAATTTGACTGATTCGAGAATAATAACGATATAATATGTCGTTGGTGTTTGTTTTTGAACAAAGTGTAATTGAAAAATAAATAAAAAATCTTTTTAGATCAGCTCTGCTACCAAATCCACTAACTATCACACCCCCGCGCTGAAACATGGGTCTGAAAGATGTGTTGCTAATAATAGTTTTGCTTTTTTTTGCTCAGCTGTCATATTTTTTTCTTTTTTCCATTCAAAATGTGTGTCGTTGCTTAAGACAAACATTGAAATCGAGATGGAAAATCGTTCGTCTCATTGTTGTGGAAAATAAAGTCCATACTCTCGTTGTGAAGATTTTTCTTCATTTCACAGTAAAGAAGAAATCGTTAACTCATGCCTTTTTGATACCAAACAATGCGACGAATCCAACAATAAAACATAGCTGCTACTAGCATATAATTATGATGCCATATTATAAGTACGTATTGCTATTACATACGATGTTTAGAGGTCTAGTAAATATATATACATATTGTTATAGCCTGCTGGTATCGCTCGTCTTCACCCATTCATTAACTCATTAATCATGCTGGCTTTTTTTTCTTTTTTTTTTTTTTTTCTTACAATATAAAACAAAAAAAAGATCCACATTTCACGCGGTATAGCTGAGATATTCAATGTTAACGATTGCTGTTATGTCTCCGTGCCTTGACACAAGGTTATATATCGTTATGTTACATTAATTGATAAAGTGTTTTTTTTCTTGTTTTTTGTTTGTTACTATAGTTACACATATAGTTAATAATTATGGCCATGTTTATATAAACGGAGATTGCCGTTCGACCACAAATAGGTTAACCAAGCGTGTACTCGATCGTTTTATACGATCTCGTACGAATTTCGAGTGATGATTGGTGACTCGTGGAATATTAAGAGTTTGGCGCGCCAATTAACGCAAACACAAGCACAATGGGACACAGCAGCGTTGATTGTCGGGCGCGTTACGTATATACGTATACATTTTTACTCGTGTTCGATGCATTCGTGGCTTTTTTTTTTTTTTGTTTTTTGATAAATTGACGCAAAATGTTTACCTACCTGTGGAGATGCACATGATACAAACGTACAAAATCTCCAGGTTTTATATAACCTTGCAAGCGAACAAGTTGGTTGGTTTGGTTTGGTTTGGTTTGGTTTGGTTGATATATACTTATTGTGTACGTAATCTTAGGTCTGCCTGTGAGTGTTAGGTGTGTTTTGATTCGACAGCCCGAAACAACACTTTTTTTTTTTTTTTTTTTTTCTTCATCGCGACGTGAAGCTCCATTTTTCATACTGCGTTTACTTACCCACGTGCTCTATACGCTCGACTTTATGCTGATTTAACTATTGCACTAACTGTTGGGTGTTGTATTTATTAACCATGATTTTTTTACAATTTTAATTTATCATTTGTTAAATATACATTTGTTAGCTTACTTGGAACTGTATGTGATTGTATTATTATTATTTCTATTTTATTTTTTTTACATTGAGATATATATATTATTCACATACAAGCAAAACAAAAATACGTTTGCGTTATTAATGCCATGTGAAGGTTATATATACGCATTACATCTGAAATTCCAATATAAGGATAAAAAAGTTGGCGGAAAGTATGTTAGGGCAAAAAAAGTCCAGAGGATTAATTGTTTATGCAGGGATTCAAGAGATGAGTTCAGAAGTGGGCGTCGCCTGTATGTACTTTTATTGCCTCACTCTCGTCTTTACCATTTTATTGATTCTTAAATTTTTTGTAGTCTTTTTTTTCTTTCCTGTCAATGCAATATTAGATGTTGGAGATATTTTTTTTTATTTTTTTCAATTCTAACTGCGTGTAACGTTACATATTAAATTACTACGTGCGTTAAAAACGTTGCTACGACATGTACTTGTATAATTAATTATCTAAAGTTGCATATAAT